GGCAACAGCGGCGACTGCCGCTCACCCGGTAAACTTTGGTTTACTTGGTTTCGAAGGTTTCTTGTTTTTTCTTTCACTATTTTATTTTTTCACATAACTTATGAGACCAAAGTATGGTACAATGTTCATAATGTTCACATATACATTCGTTGAATGTAACACAATTATAACAAAAACACTAGCATCATCATATTGTTTACAAAAATTGTTTACACAAACAATATAAAAAATTGTTTATTATGATTGTTCTATAATATATATACACATGTACAATCACTGGACACTTTCCTAGAATTCCTGCAGCTTGTGGAATTCTTTAAAACATGGGTGTATGCACAATGGTGTTCTACACTCCTCACACACATAAAACGAGTGTCTGCATTTTTGTGGGCGTTTTGTGGTAAGTGCACCAACATAACACCTCTTCTGAGCATTTTTCTTGAAAGCAGTAGCAGGCAGTGGTATGGGGTAGTGATCACCAGGCCTCAGACGAGAGGGCATGTGCTGATAATTTCCTGGGCGCTAGTCTATTGCAAGTGTTGTTCCTTGGTACTTCAATATTATTTGTCTGATAATTGACAAACAAAATTCACCATATTTGGGTTTGTTGTTGGTCTTCAACTTATACATATTATAAGCATTCAGCATGGAAATGTCAAGAAGATGGAAAAAGAGTTTTATGTACCACTTATAACTCTTGCGAACACAATCAGCAAACCCAATCTGCATGTCACATTTGTCCACTAACCGCATATTGAGGTTGTAATCCATCACAGCTGCAGGTTTTACAATGGGTTCATTGGTCTCTCTATTCTGCTTGCTACTGTCTACCATTTCGTGTCGGTGAACTGATGTCAACAGTATGACATCACGTTTGTCATGCCACCGAAATGCCATGGTGTCATTGGCAGCAAACACCTGAACATCACCTCTATGAGTGCCAGCGAGGAACCTAGGCATATGCTTACGATTTCCACACAGTGTGCCACACACATCTGTCATGTTCACTTGCAAGAAATCACTGAGTAAAGGGCTTGTGTACCAGTTGCCAGTATATAAAATATGCCCCTTACCCAGGTATGGGTCCATCATTGTTCTAACCACATCACCAGAGATACCCAGTAACTTCCTGGTATCTTGCAATGTTTTACTGCCAGTTATTTATTTTATTATCACACTGGCCGATTCCCACCAAGGCAGGGTGGCCCGAAAAAGAAAAACTTTCACCATCATTCACTCCATCACTGTCTTGCCAGAAGGGTGCTTTACACTACAGTTTAAACGCAACATTAACACCCCTCCTTCAGAGTGCAGGCACTGATCTTCCGCGTCTCATTGTCAAGTCCGCCTGCGGGTTTTCCTGAAAACCCTTCATAAATGTTAATCTTTGCACAATGTCACAAAGCACGGTCAAGTATTAAAAACCATTTGTCTCCATTCACTCCTATCAAACACGCTCACGCATGCCAGTGTACACAATTATATACAAAACCAGACCACTTTTGCAACCACACAGTACAAATAACTTTATACCAGAGCATTTCCTCTTGCTTGGTATGTACTACTTGAATGACAGTCTGCCTTTGAACAAAATCAAAGACTCATCAATAACAAGCTTCCTGAAGGGATAAAAATACATACAGACTTTTGTTTCAGGTACATAAATACATTTCTGATCTTATATAACCTGTCGCTTCTGTCAGGCCTTGTTTTGTCTGAAAAGTGCAGCATACATAACAGTAGCACAAATCTATTCACTATTATAATGTCACTGAAAGCTGGGGTTGAAATCAGGCGGTCTCTCGACCAGTATGTGTTGACACTGTGCTTATACACATGTGGCCTAAGCATTTTTGTGGCAAAGAACAGATACATCTCTGCCACAGTTGTGCCCTTCCACTGGTGTAGGTGTGATCTTGGTGAAAGAACTGTGTTTGCCATGGTGTACACAATGTATGTATTGCTTTCCCTGACAATGTCCATCAGGGGTTCATCGAAGAATAACTGAAAGCATTCCAGTTCAGTAGCACTGTTCCCAAGTGTACATGATGTATTTCATCAAAGTCATGGGGATTGGGAACAAAACTGTCACCTTGCTGCCAATCCCAGATGCAGTCTGCTGGTAGGTTCTGGATATTAAAAGGTGGCTGTGGTTGTGCAGGTTGTGGGAGTGTGGGGTTGGTTGAGGCTGGTTGTAGTTGTGCTGAGTTAGCAGCGTCGGTAGTAGCATGGCCAGCTGCTGGTGCCACATGACTCATGCCGCCGCCACCACCACCTGCTGCCTCACTCACATCATTCATACCCATTGTAACAATATCGTCATCTTCACTATCAGTTCATGGTGTACTCCGAGATTTACTCTTTCCCCTTGGAACAACATATGACACACTACCAGAACGCATGCTACGTCATATATACTGCCTCTTCACTGGAGAATATTCACCCTCACTGTCGCAACTAGAACTGCTTTCAATAGCTTTGAAATCACTATTACTATCACTTTCACTGCTCACAGCTGAGTCTTGTACACAGGCAAATGCAGTGGTCCCTCAATAATTGTCCGGCCTGAAATTCGTCCATTTCGGAAATAGTCCTGTTTTTTCGTCAAAATATTGGCTCGCAAATGGTCCAGTAACTCGCTAATAGTCCTTCGCCCCGGACGCGTACTCACGCTCTGAGGCGCCTCGGCCTTTCCTTCCCAGCCAGTGTGCCATTGTTTACCAGTGAGCGACGGTCCCCTCACGTGCTCCAGCGAAATATTTCATAATACATATATTCAATTTATTTTAGTGCTTGCAAGTTATTTAAGTGCTAAATAAGCTACATGGCTCCAAAGAATGCTCCTAGTGCCAAGCCTTTGGTAAAGGTGAGAAATATGATTGAATTTAAGAAAAACATCATTGAACAATATGATAGTGGCGTATGTGTGGGCGAACTGGCCAGGATGTATAACAAATCCCGTACAACCATATCTTCCATCATAGCCAAGAAAAAGAAAATCAAGGACGCTGTTGTTGCAAAGGGGGTAAATATGCTGACAAAAATGAGATCAACAGTACTCAAAGATGTTGAGAAGTTATTATTGGTGTGGATAAATGAGAAACAATTAGCAGGAGATAGTCTTATGACGTCGCTTATTTGTGAAAAGGCTAGGCAGTTGCATGACGATTTGGTAAAGAAATTGCCTGCAACTAGGATGAGTGATTTAGCCAGAAGTGGTTTGAGAGATTTAAGAAGCGTACTGGCATACACAGTATGGTAAGGCATGGTGAGGCTGCCAGTTCGGACCACAAGGCGGCTGAAAAATATGGGCATGAATTCAAGGAGTACATAAACAGTGAAGGACTGAAACCTAAACAAGTGTTCAATTGTGATGAAACAGGCCTCTTTTGGAAGAAAATGCCAAAGAGTGGTCCTAGTGGCATTAAGAAACAGAGAAGAGAAGTAACCCCAGAAAAGTAATTAGTACCCGAGGTGTTGATGGAAGGGGATTCCCCTTCCAAACAGTAAATCATCCAATCTGTCTCCTTCTCCAGTCTTCCATACACAAAGAAGAATCGCCAATAAAGGTAAGTGTTATTCTGTTAATGTTTAGTTCATCATGTGCCACTGTATCGTTTATGTACTACATCTATATTTCATGTAGAAAAATTTTTTGTTTTAATACTTCTGGGTGTCAGGAACGGATTAATTGAATTTACATTATTTCTTATGGGGAAAATTGATTCGTAAATCGTCCATTTCGATAATAGTCCCACTTCCAGGAACAGATTATGGACGATTATTGAGGGACCACTGTAGTTTCCTCTTTTGTCCTGGTACAGGTGAACGTGAATGAGACAGCCCAGCACCAGATGTGGAAGGTTAAGGGTCATCTGGATTTTCATCACTAATTACGTTATCCTGGGCACTGCTTTTGGTCACACCCACTCCAAAACCATGAAATTCACTTCACTGGCACTTCCATCACTGTTAGAGCTGTCACTTGAGAACAAAAGACCTCCAATCCGCCGAGGAGTGAGGTACTTCTTAACGCGAGGCATGGTGAAAATGGACTACCAAGATGGTGTTCCCACAATGCACCACCGAGTCCCCGATTTTTTTCACAGTGTGCACACCCACCACTCAGACCCATTCTCTCTCATATAGGCCTACCAGCTTTCTCCTGCTTGATTTGAAGCCGCTATAATTTATGCGTATAAATACGTCAAACACGGTGGCTCGTAAGATGTATATATACGACTGAAACAGTCAAAGGGTTAATAAAAAAAATTATACAGGCGAAGGGGTTACTAGCCCCTTGCTACTGGCATTTTAGTCGCCTTTTATGACACATGGCGCATAGAGGAAGGAGTCTTTTTCACTTCCCCATGGAGATGACTAGAAAATAAATAAATGTAAGTAGAAGTAGCAAGATGTACTTATTATCTTGCGTGTTTATGAGACAAAGAAAAGACACCAGCAATCCTATCATTATGTACAACAATTACAGGTTTTCGTTTCACACTCATTTGGCAGGACGGTAGTGCCTTCGTGGGTGATTGATATCTACCAACCTACTACCAGCCAAGCACATCATACCTGGGTGGTTGCTATCCACCAACATACTACCAGCCGTGCACTTCAGTTCTAAGTTTCCGAGATAAATCCCTGGAACAAAGATTCTACCTTAAATACTAACAGTTTCCAATGTGTTTCATTTTTAAAGTACACTGGACCCCGCTTAACGATCACCTCCCAATGCCACCAATTATGTAAGTGCATTTATGTAAGTGCGTTTGTACGTGTATGTTTGGGGGTCTGAAATGGACTAATCTACTTCACAATATTCCTTATGGGAACAAATTCGGTCAGTACTGGCACCTGAACATACTTCTGGAATGAAAAAATATCGTTAACCGGGGGTCCACTGTACAGTAAATGATCTGAAAAAATTTCCAAGTAAAAAAAAAAAGCTGAATGTTAATCAAGAATAAAATAAGATGAATTGTTAGTAGTACCTGTGAGCTCTTAGAATGAGCCTCTGGACAATCTGGAATAATCTTGGCTAAACGACATATCCAGGTGTTTATTTTATCTCGTCTTCTGCGCTCTACTTCATTGTGTGTGACTCTACGTTTCTCCTCTCGTGTGGAGCCTCCTAACCTGGGGCTCATGACACTCTCACTGGTTCGTGGAGCCAGATTTCTTGGGGTAGTGTTGGTAAGAACGTCACTGATTACATAAAGCTGACCTGAAAATCATTTAATATTTTATTAAAAATTGTTTCAGTCACATTTACCAAAATATTAATTATGTATTTTAATGCATTCTGAAGAAGTCTACACATAACTGTAGTATACCAAAAGGATATCTCTAAATATTTACTCATTTCACAAAGATAAATTATAACACAACTTTCACACAGCTACTGTATACAAACTAATACTCGGTATATTAAAAATATTTCCCTTTTCAAGCAACTACACAAATTTTAGCCAAGAAATTAATTTCCTCTCAGCTCTTCAAGACTTACACTAATGTACAAAATCTGGTTAAACTTTCATCTTAATGCTCATAAAATTCTAAGGAAGTGTTGAGGCAAAGGTAACTACTTCATGGCTATCATCTTCAGATGTACCATCTGTAGGTGGTGGTCATGCACACTGCTTGAACAGTTTTCATAATTTCCATCATAAAGACATGAGCGTGTTTGATAGGAGTGAATGGAGACAAATGGTTTTTAATACTTGACGTGCTGTTGGAGTGTGAGCAAAGTAACATTTATGAAGGGGTTCAGGGAAACCGGCAGGCCGGACTTGAGTCCTGGAGATGGGAAGTACAGTGCCTGCACTCTGAAGGAGGGGTGTTAATGTTGCAGTTTAAAAACTGTAGTGTAAAGCACCCTTCTGGCAAAACAGTGATGGAGTGAATGATGGTGAAAGTTTTTCTTTTTCGGGCCACCCTGCCTTGGTGGGAATCGGCCAGTGTGATAATAAAAAAAAATAAATAATAATAAAAGACAAGCAATAATATATTACCTAGAGAGGTGGGTGGAAATGCAATTCAGAATAACGAAAAAATATCACAAAAATAGAATTCGTCTTGCATTTCTCTAGCTTGACAACTGCTGTAAAGTATGCTTAAAAGGAAGTGTCAAACACTGCCATTTCTACAACTTGTCACTGCAGCTATTGTATAGTTATTAACAATACATAATTCCCAACATTCACAAGGGAAGTTTGAAATAAAAAACTGCATACAATTTTTGTTTTATTTGGGCTGATTTTGTGTTGGAATTGTACTGTACCGAAGTCAGGTGTGCCACATGTATTGCTTGGTGCAAACAAAATCTAGCAATCTTGAAAGTCATATACAGTGGACCCCTGGTACACGATGGCATTGGTATACGTTAAATCTGGTATACGATACATTTTAACGCAAAAATTTTGCCTCGCCACTCGTTAAAAAACCCACCACACACGATTCGTCCAGGACGCGTCCACATGTGGCCTGAACTGCCCCGTGCGTGCCAGTGTTTACAAGCCAGCCAGTGTGCTCGCATCTAAGCATACATTCAGTACATTTCATATTATCACAGTGTTTTTGGTGCTTGTTTCTGCAAAATAAGTCACCATGGGCCCCAAGAAAGCTTCTAGTGCCAACCCTTGGAGAAAAAGGGTGCTAATGACCATTGAAATGAAGAAAGAAATAATTGCAAAGTACGAAAGTGGAGTGCATGTGTCGGAGCTGGTCAGGTTGTATACAAAACCCCAATCAACCATCGTTACTATAGTGGCCAGGAAAACGGCAATCAAGGAAGCTGTTTTTGCAAAAGGTGCATGTCTGTTTTCGAAACAGAGATCTCAAGTGTTAGAAGATGTTGAGAGACTGTTATTGGTGTGGATAAATGAAAAACAGATAGCAGGAGATAGCATCTCTCAAGCGATCATATGTGAAAAGGCTAGGAAGTTGCATGAAGATTTAATTGAAAAAATGCCTGCAACTAGTGGTAATGTGAGTGAATTTAAGGCCAGCAAAGGTTGGTTTGAAAGATTTAAGAATCGTAGTGACATACATAGTGTGATTAGGCATGGTGAGGCTGCCAGTTCGGCCCTAGTGGCATTAACCCCTTCAGGGTCCAAGGCCCAAATCTGAAGTGGTGCCCCAGTGTCCAAGAATTTTCAAAAAAAAAAAAAAAAGTTATTTTTTCTTATGAAATGGTAGAGAATCTTTTTGTGAAGGTAATAAAACAAAAAGTACGAAATATGATGGAAAATTGATGAAATTATGCTCTCGCGAATTCTGATGTGTCAGCGATATTTACGAATCGGTGATTTTGCCGACTTTGACTCATATTTTAGGCCAATTACATTATTCCAGTCAACCAAATTCTTAGCTATTTCAATAGTATTACTTCTATTCTATCAATTGAGCACAAGAAATCGCCAAGTCAACTGTTTCAACTACAAATTAAAGTGATCGGAAATTGTTAATTTGGCCAATTTAATACAAAGTTCAAAATATTCCAATTTCAAAATAGGGTCCAGAATAAACAATGTAGGTATTCCTGGAACTAAACTAACATTTCCTCTGTTCATTAGTTACGTTTTGAGGCTTTACAAATAAATTCCATTTTGATTTTTTATTCACATAATGAATTTTTATTCACACCAAAAAATAGAAGATTTACTGTTATGCAATACTGTAATAATTGTATAAATATCATCACCATATTTGTGAATGCATATTAGACCCACCAGCTGGCGTGTATTAGATGTGTGAGGTCGTTTGTTTACTCTTGAATATCGGCAAAAATTTAACATTTCTGCTACTTTGAGCTCAGTTTCAAGCCATTTCCAGTGCTAAACCCAATCAAAATCATCTCCATTTCTGTAATATGTCTTCCATTCTATCAAATGAGACCAAGAAATCGCAAATACAACTATAAAAAACATACGAAAAACACTGCAAAGTTGCCGTTTTAAACGAGAAATCATGATTTCAGTTTTTTTTTCTCATTATACACAGTGTGTTGCAGTATCTGTTTTATGTGGCACACACATGCCACATAGATGTATTCTCTCACATCTAGGCCCAAATGTACCACTCACAGTTTATCAGAGTGAGCTGAGCTCATGACATAGATCTACGGTAGATCTTTACGTAGATCTGACGTAGATCTACGTAAAGCCGTAGATCTACGGGACGGACCCTGAAAGGGTTAAAAGAAGAAGGGAAGTAACCCCGGAAAAGGACTTGCTACCTCAAGTCCTAGTGGAAGGGGATTCCCCTTCTAAACATTAACAACTTCGACACTCTCCCCTCCTCCCATCCCATCAATCATCACCAGATCTTCATTAAAGGTAAGTGTGTGTAATCGGCCAAACTGCCAATTTCTGACCACTTCATTGGGTAGTTGAAATAAGTGAATGGGCAGTTTCTTGTACTCAGTTGACAGACTAGAAGTAAATTTTATTCAGGTATACACACAGTTACATAGATTATCATACATAGCGGTGTATGTATAGAGAACCCAGGATAACCCAAAAAAGTCAGACAAAGTGACTTATTTCCAGTACCTGGCTTGGGCTTGCCATATATGATTTTTGGTAAATATTTTTTTTTCTCGGTTCTTCGTTGGGCTATCTCTTTGAAACTTGGGCAATGTATGATGGAAAGATGCTTCTTAACATACAACAATAAAAAAGATGGACGATAAATAAGGGAGTTCACTTCTCAGCCATTAGCCGCTTCTTTGCAGTATATTTTCGTATGGTTTTCATGGTTGTATTCTCATTTTTTTGGACTCATTTGATAGAATGGAAGATATATTACAGAAATAGACACGATTTTGATTGTTTTCATGATGAAAAGTACCTTGAAATTGAGCTCAAAATAGCGGAAATGTTCGATTTTTGCCGATGTTCAATGAACTTTGTGTAAGTTGGTTGATTTTATTAAGTGTATTCTAACCTAACCACTCTAATCTGGCAAACTCAGTAATCCAGCACACTAAAGGTCCCAATGATGCTGGATTTGTGATGGAGGACCTGTACATACGACCGAAACAGTCAAAGGGTTAGAGGCACCAGAAACAGAGGACTGTGGACAGTTATTTTGTGAGACAGGGGTCCAGTGACTCTCAAGCTGGTCCTAGTGGCATTAAAAAACAGAAGGGAAGTAACCCCAGAGAGGGCTTTGATACCTAAAGTTCTTATGGAGGGGGATTCCCCTTCCAAACACTAACCCCAACTCCCTCTCTCCTCCTCCCTATCTTCCAGATGTCATAACCAATCTTCAATAAATGTAAGTAAAATGTTATTTTATATGTTTATTTAAATTTATAAAGTTTTTCTTCTTCTCTTTTTTAGTAAATGTCTACAGGAGAAGGGGTTACTAGCCCATTGCTCCCGGTATTTTAGTCGCCTCATACAACACGCATGGCTTACGGAGGAAAGATTCTTTTCCACTTCCCCATGGACAATAGAAGAAATAAAGAAGAACAAGAGCTATGTAGAAAAAGGAGAAAAACCTAGATGTATGTATATATATATGCATGTGCATGTCTGTGAAGTGTGACCAAAGTGTAAGTTGGAGTAGCAAGATATCCCTGTTATCTAGCGTGTTTATGAGACAGAAAAAGACACCAGCAATCCTACCATCATGCAAAACAGTTACAGGTTTCTGTTTCACAGTCATCTGGCAGGACGGTAGTACTTCCCTGGGTGGTTGCAGTGCCTGCACTCTGAAGGAGGGGTGTTAATGTTGCAGTTTAACCCTTTGAGGGTCGACAGGCCCTCTCCGAGACTTGTTCTCAGGGTCGACCAAATTTCCCCAGAAAAAAAAGAATTATTTTTTTCTTATGAAAAGATAGAGAATCTTTTCCCAATCATAATGGCACCAAAAGTAGGAAATTTGATTGAAAACTTACGGAATTATGCTCTCACGAAGTAAGCGGTCTCGACGATGTTTACGCATAGCCGATTTTGCCCACTTTGAGCCCTATTTTTGGCCAATTGCGATGTACTAGTCGACAAAAATCATAACTATTTCGATAGAACTCCATTTTTTCTATCGAATGAGTTCAAGAAACCACCCATTTACCAATTTCAACTATCCAATAAAGTGGTCAGAGTTAAACAATTTTGCCAATTTCACACAAATTTCAAAAGATGCCAGTTTCCGAATAGGATCCAGAATAAACAAGAAAGATATTCCTGGCACTAAAATAACAAGTTCTCTGTTCGTTAG